TATGCCATGAGTCATGATCATGACCATAAAACCAAAAACAAACCGAGCTCTATCAAAGTTCGAGTTTGAACTTAACAAAAAAAAAATGTCAATTTTTTTTTGTGCAGCTGCATTGTTGACAAAAAAAAAACTAAAAACGACAACAACAAGTTGAATTTTTGTTTGGGGGTTTGCCAAACAATGCAACTGCTATGAAAACAATGCCAAATGCAATGCCAAAAATTGCAAACATAACATTAAGAAGCGAAAATGCGGCACGACTAAATATACACGAGTTGCAAGCAGCAGTTGCAAATAGAAGCAGTTGTAAGCAGCAGCGAGTTGCGGCAGAAGCGACAGCAAATAGTAACTTCAACTGCACAAGTTGCAAGTGCGTCAATAATGGCTGGTGCAACTAACAAGATACCCTATTAATTCTAGAACGAATGCAAGAATGTTTGACTGGTTGAGAGTCTCTATATCTTTCAGGTTGCTAACAGGCTTGCCTCTGGCCAAAATCTTTAAAGTTCGCTGTCCAGTTTAGATAGATGACTTTTTTTTCTACGATTTCCTGTCAAGTTGTGGGCATAATTGTGTAAAAAAAAAGCTTAAACAGATCAATCAATGTAAGTAATCAAAAGTGATAACTGAAAACTTTCACTAGAAAGCCACTAAACGAAATGTGTTTGAATTACAGGGTATAAAAGAGGCAATTGCAATTTGCGAATTATTACATTACACTTTCCACGATGCGACGTCGAAGTTGGCGTCGCTTTTGGAGTCACTTAAACAAGATAAATCAACGTGGGCGATTACACAATATCAGCATTGTCAGTCATCTGTAACTGTATCTGTATTTGTATCTGTATCTGTATTTGTATCTGTGACTGCAGCTGTATCTGTGACTGCAGCTGTATCTGCATCGATATCTCTCTCTGTGTGTATGTGTGTGTGTGTTGTCGACAATTGAGGCGTGCTGTGGCATGACTGTGCAAAAAAAAGAAAAGCAAGAAGAAAAAAATAAACTAACAACTGGCAATGGGCAAATAAAAGAAAAACGAAAAAGCAACAACATTTAGCTGCAACTGTGGAAAACTGTGGAAAAACTGCGCGCCATTGGAGCAGTGGGTCGCACTTGGGGATTGCTGCTGCTGCTGCTGCTGCTGCTTTGGGGTCGGTCTTGTGTCTTGTGTGTTGTGTGTGGCATGGAAATGTGGAAAAACCTGTACCAAGTCAATAGCACACTTAAAATGCAAAACACAACAAAATAAATACAAGTTGATTATCATGAAAAATAATAAACAAACAAACAAAAAAAGACGAAAAACTTATGATTACATGCTGTAGTTAAGTTAAGTTAAGATTGTTTTTTTCGTTTCCACTTTATGGGCGATAATTAAAGTTAAATGTTTTGTTACGAGACGAATCTCGCATCTGCCTGCAACGACAACAAAATGCAACGCGATCGTTGCCGATGCCGCAAATAATTGTTGCCGTTTAATGTTTTCATTGTAAACGCTAAAATTCAATTTTAATATCTGCAGTTCTTGGCAATTGCAAGCAACAGTTGCAACAGATGCTGCAGAAGGCCAAGCTGCAACTTGGCAACAATTGAAACCAAAATGTTAAAGTTGAAATTGCCAAAGAATATTGTCCAAAACATGCAAAGATGACTTTCGATTCCCCTTAAATACTTTATAGTGTTTGTAATTATTATGGGAAACATAAGATAAACATATAAAAGTGAGATCTACACAACTTTTCATAGAACTCCCAAAGCTGTTCAAATATCTTGTGAACCATGAAGGTAATATTAATAAAAATATCATTTTTTACCCTACCAATATTTAAAATAATTGAAAAGAGATCTCGCCTGGGAGATTCCCTGTACCCAGCTGTTAAATACAAAGTGCGCCTGCTGATATTAGTTTGGTGTGATTTGAATAACACCCTAGTTATCTTTCTCAACAACTTTCGCCTTCATAGTCACTACAATGCAATAGTCAACACAACAACTGAAAGAAATCTGTGCTGAAATTAGCATACTTGTTGCCATACATTAGACTAAATGTAATTCTAGCACTTTTTTATTGCTGTGTGTAACAAAACAATAAATAATTCAATCTATTGTTAAACTGCTGACAATGCTAGAGATTAAATTAATTTACTCTATAGATTGCGCCCTCAGTCATTTTTTCTAAACACCAATTAAAACACTGTTAAATAAATCACAAAAATTGTAATTGTGATACAATAAATCCCACAATAATTGAAAAATGCTACATAAATCAATATTAAATTAAATTAATGAATAAATTCAGAAACAAATACTCTGTACAAAACAAAATATATATATATATATATATATATATAAATATCGCCAAGAAACGAGTTTTTGTATTATTCTAAATTGTGAATAGCACAACACAAAAACAAAAAAATCCCCGCCCCAAAAAAAAATGCTAACTTTAAGCATAAAAGCAACAATTAAGCTGCTCAAAAGATGCGCAATAAAATTTAATGCAGCGCAAAAATTGCAAAAAATAATGTATAACAAAAAAAAACAATAAAAATTACCAATGAACGAGAAAAAAATGTTTTCATGTTGTGAGAGCGACGTGAAACCAAAAAAAAAAAAACAAAAAAAAAATAAATCAAAAAGAGTTCAACGACCAAAAGTTGAAATTATTTCCGACAGAGACGAGCGAAGCCGAGCGCGACACGAGCGCAAAGCACGAACGCAGCCGACCACAAACGAACGAAATGAAAGAGAGAGAGTGTGCACAACAATGAGAGAGAGAGAGAGCGAGAGAAAGAGAGCAAAGATAGCAGATAGCGTACCAAGAGATACAATATGTTTTATGGTAGCAGAGATAGATTATGGCTTTTGATATGCGTGCGTTCGCGTTGCGTGTATGCCAGCGAAACCGAAACAGAACCGAACTTCAGCATGGTGACGACGACAACAACAACAACGCAAACGCAAACGCAACAACAACAACAAATGAGCAACAACAACGTAGAGTGTTCAATTTATTCATGATTTGCATGCAACAGCAATAATAGCAACAAAAACAATTAATTAATTAGAATGCAAAAAGAAACAAGTAAGAACAAGGCTAGCTGAGCCATGTCGAAGTTTAGATACTCTAGCAAAAGTGTTGCCTTCCAAATGTCACTAGAGATTACTATATATGATATAGTAGCCAAATGATATTGTAGTCCAATGTCGATGACTTTTAGAGACTTTAGTGAGAAGCATATTGGGTGACTTTGGTTTAGATAAGCAGCATAATAATACACAGTTTAGTAATTAGATATGAATGTTTTGTTGGTACATTGTGAGCAGAATAATAAGTTTAGTTCGAATATCTTGATTAACAATAAAGTTTCATACTACAACCAATTCTAGCTATGGCTACAGTTTGCTTAGAGTCGTATATGCCAAGTTTACTAAAAATAGCGATTAGTTATCATAAACTGTCTATCTACTGACTGACTAATACTGATCATGAATATGAGTTCATAATAGCTTCCATCTAATAATGTAGTTTCTGTACGATTTTAATACATTTGCAATTCCGCTTGAATATAAAATAATGGCAGCCAAAAAAATGAAAGAAAAAAAAACACAAACAGAATTTGAAGTTGCAGCCGCAGATACATATTGTATCTGAGCAGGAAGCTTGTTGCGCCCACGCGCCATAAATTCACAAATGCTGCTGCTGCTGCTGTTTTTGCTGCTGCTGCTGCTGCTGCTGCTGTTGTTTCTGCTACTGATGATAAATGAACGCATGCTTTTGCGTATCTTGAAGATACACAATGCAACAACTGCATGCGCATGCATGCTCACAACAGAGGCAGACAGATGGACAGACAGACAGAACGACAGCAGCAGCGCTGTTGCGCATTCTTAATGAGCGGAAATTAGTTGGCATTGTGCGGTTATAGATACAACAATAACACATACACACACCCCTACACGCACACACACAATATCTGCTAGCCATAAATTCGCACAGCTGACGAGGTAATTTTTGCGATTTTGCGCGTGCCGCTTTTTTAAACAAGAAACAACACAAAAATACATTGATTTAAACGCCATTTAGCGCACTTCGCCACAATTATCCGTCAGATAAATTATCAAAATTGTTTAATGGGCCCAGTGTGTGTGTGTGTTTAAATACAATGCTTATAAGTCATTTGATAAATCACATTGTAATTCAAGTATCTCTGTTTGTGCATTTGCCAAAGTATCTCACAGATATTTGCACATATATCTGTGCATATATTTTTAGTATTTCTGTTTTTAGCTTGAATTTTGGCAGAAAAAAAAATGAAATAGAAAACATTTTCTCTAGCTAGATTTTGGCATTTCCATTTTTAGCACAAGTCTGACTGAGCTTGTGCGTAAAGTATCTTACAGATATATTATGTGGCAAGTCAAATATCAGCTGTCTAAGTTCATCTTATTTATCATCCATCATGGAATTTTGTATCTCTTGTTTTTCTTTTATTTCTGCTGTAGTTATTTTATTTTTGTATATTAGGCGTTAAGTGGCACAGCTTGGTAATCATATTAACAGGTTTTTGTCTAAATTATTCAGCCTGTTTCTTAGTCAGCAGCAAATTAATTATAAGCTTTACTCTAAATTACTATATTTATGTGAAAGGAATGTTAATTACTGAACTTAATAAAAGAAAAAAGTTTCTGCTAGACAGATAGATAGATAGATAGATACAGAAATAGAAATAATGCCGACTTGCTGATTATGAGCGGCTTTGCGCGGGCTTCAAACATGTTTAATACAAGCATTTGAAATACTTTTTCAAATATATATTAATAATTGAGTAAGGAATGAGATATCAATTGTTTTTAATCACTGTTAGATTTCCCAGCCGGTTTATTTAGTATATACTTTCTTTTATTTCTTATTTCTTTTAAATTTTTATTTGTTGACACCTTAATTAAATCTCATGTGTGTATTTATGCTTATGAGTGTATTCATTCATTCACTCACCTGTCTGATGACTCTGATGAATCGTAACGATCGAGGCAGCGCTTCTTCTTTGTGCCTCCCTGTTGCACATTGGCTGCCCCTCTTCCCCTTTCTCCCCTGGCAGTTGTTGTCGTTGTTTGTGTTACAGTCTTTGTGGCGCCCTGATAGAGCTGAGATCGCAATGCGTTGATATCCAATTTGGCAACTGATGCTGCTGACGAGGTTTTATTTGTTGCAGTTGCGGTTGCAATAGTTGTTTGCCTGCCCCTTTTGGTGGCATGCACGATGCCAATGCTATTGCTACTGTTTAAAGGTGTGCTAAAGGATGGCTTAAGCGGTTTGCTTGCCGGTGGCTTCAACTCAATGTTTGGCGGTGGGGCAGCGGGTGGTGCAAGCGGAATTGAGGCGGCAACTGTTGCCGTTGTTGTTGCCGTTGCCGTTGCAGTTGCAGTTGTCAAACTGTTCAAATTGATGCCGTTTTTCAGCTGATCAAACAATGACAGAGCCGCATTCGAAGTTAAAGTTTTCTTTGCAACAATTGTGCCTGTTGTTGTTGTTGTTGCTGTTGTTGTTTGGGTGTTTATTATTCTTTCTGTACTTGTAAGTTGGGGGCGTGGCTGTTGTTGGCTCGTTCGCAGTAACATTAATCTTTAATCACTGTTGTGACCTTTGACTGCATGCCTGACATTTTCTTTGCTTTGTTTTGTTTTTTTGCTAAACTTGTTTTCTTTGTGTTTGCACTTTTTTGTTTTCTCTCTTTTGTTGTTTATTTTCGTTGCAACTGTTTTGCAACGTTCTTTTTAATTGTTTTCCGCTGTTTATTTTGTTGTTGTTGTTGTTGTTTGTTGCCATTTGTTTGGCTTACGACACATTTTTGTTCAAATCGGTTTTTGTTCTCTATTCTTTTTTTTAAGCTCTTTTTCGCATTTGTTTTGCCAGCAACTGTTTTTAATGTTACTTGTTTTGTGTGTCAAGCACTATTAATATTATTATTATTATCAAAAGTGATTGCTCATGTTGTATTATTTAGTTGTTCTTTGCTTTATGTATTTATAGAAACTGTTAAAAATGCAAAATGATAAGAAAATGTATAGAAAAAAGTAAAACTGAATCTGAGAATATCTGTAGAAAATGTATAAGCCTTAAGATCTTTAAAAATAAGCTATTTTTGTATGTATCACTATATAAATAATGGTCAATAAAATCATTGAGTCCAAAAGCAATTCTCTTATATATGTATAAATAATATTTCAATATGAATTCATTCATTATGATTAGTATTCCTTTTACACATTGAATTCGATTCTTTTATAGATTTAAAGCTGGCGCATTTGCATTTAAAATATTAATAAAAATTATCAAACGTTGCACAAAAATATTGCTCAAATTTAATTGGCATTTAATTTATTGCACTTCACTCGAATTACAACCGGCGATATTTTATTGCGAATTTAACACAAAAATGGCTTAAAACTCATTTTTAGGCATTTTTTTTCAATTAATGTGACCCATTTTTTTATTATTATTTTTTTTTTTTGTAATTTTACACTTTATCGGCACTTTTTTTGATTCAATTTTTATTTGTTGGATTTGGTTGTTTAGCAAATTTTTCTTTTCGTTTTCTTTTTTTTTGTTGTTATAAATACTTTGCTTTAATCATAATAATTTAGTGAATGTATTCATATTCATATTATGAATGGCAGCTAATTTTCTTATGAGTTTCATTCGTTTCCGGCGCTTTTTGTTGTTACTGTTTCCTTTTTTGCATTTGCAGTGCACACAAAAAAAAACCGTTTTTTGCAAGCTTTGCAAACAGTTAACCGGTTCTCGCGTCTCTTGAGTTTTATTTTGTATTTACTTTTTGTTATTTTGTTTGTCGAAACAACGAGCCAGCCGAGAAACCGAAAATTGTGGAAACAACAAATGTCACAAATCTGGCATTTTTTTTGTTGTGTTTAACAACAATGCCAAACAAACAAATCTAATCGAATGCATTCCTATACAAACACACACACACAAACACATATTTAAACATTCTAACACACGCACACACATACACATACGCACACACACATAGACGTTATCAATGCTGCGTTCGCCGGGGCCGACTTGTCTAATGATCTGCGGCGGTTCTATTAATAATCAAGTCAAAAAGCAGCACACTCATTTGTTGTTGTTGCTTTCGTTATTGTGGTTGTTTTCGTTTCGTATGCTGTTCGATTTAATTGCCATGTAAAAATGTAAGTCGAACTTTGGCAACTGTAAATACAAAACAAAAAACAGAACAGAAAAGCTCGACGAGAAAAGTGCGCGCTTGAGTCTCTTTCGTTTACGCTGCGTTGCTTTGGCTGCTGGCCTCTGCCTGCGACTGAATGTCGCGACGAAACGATGTGTTTTTTGATGTGGTGTGGGGCGCTGCCGAACCGAGCCGAGTCGAGCCGAAGAGCTTTGGCCAACTAGAACCGAGCTGGCCAGCAAGAAACGAGCGAAACGAGCGAAACCCAACAAGAACGAGCGTGCGAACGAGCAACGACCGCAACTTCGTTGCCAAAAGGCACGAGCGACGACAGACGACGACTACGATTACGAGTGGCGAATTGCTAATGTGTGTGTGTGTGTGTGTGTGAAGTGTGGAGAGTGTGTTGAGTGAGAAGAGTGGGGAGAGTGAATATGCAAGCGATGCGATGTTCACTTTTGATTTCTGTGCAGCGGCAGCAGGTTTGGCATACTCAAAAGACAGCAAAGAGAGAGGCGAGGGACGGAGTGAAGAGAAGGTGTGGGGGGGGGGGGGGTCTATAGGGAAGCCGGTTGTACGACGGCTGCTTATGCTGCTGCGCTGCTACTGCGCTGCTGCTGCTTGTTGCGCCACAAGCCCACACGCTTCTTTTTTTTTGGTTTTTTTTATTCTGTTTTGTTTTATCTGTTTAGTTTTTTTTGTGTGTTTTGGACAAGTTCAATATTTGGTTTCTTTTTTCGCTTCTGCGTTTAATTGTTGCCCCAACTCTAACTGTAAAATAATGTTGTATTCAATTACCTGTTGATATATGCGCCGTGGGAAAAAGAGACCAAAAACAATATAGAGGGCAAAAAACAAGTCGAGCAGTCAAAATTGTGATGGATCAAAATTTAAAGTAAATGCAATATATTGTGGGTTTTATTAAATATAGCAACTGTAACATATAAAAGTATTAAAAACCAAAGTTTTTTCTTATTTAAGCTTTTAACTGGTGTTCATTTCTCTCCCATCCCAATTTTCATGATTTTTTTCCAATAACAATATGCATATAAATTAATAACTGTTTGTCAAGCTCACCTCTGTTTTCTTCCGATTTAGAATTTCCACACATTATCTTTCTGTTTCTCGATGAACATTTTTGTACTCTTCTGCTTCTGTTGTTCAGCTCACTCAAATGTTAAATAACATTAACATTTTCATTCATTCCCATTTACTTTGACGAGGTAATTCCAATTGGAAATCCGTATTAGATACCAATACGAAATTTAGAGTCGATAAACATTCCAGGTGCATTTGCTTTAGCTGACGTTTTTCATTCTTCTTATTGAACACACACCTAAAATGCAGCATTTCCTTAATCACAGCAACAACAACAACAAGAAATGCCCACTCTTTATTTATACGAGCTGCAGCTTTGTTTTTTGCCCACGCAAAATTCGCATACGAAATTTACTTCGGTAATTAAGCAAAGTCAAAGGCAAAAGCAAGCAATACAAAAACAAAATCAAGCGCAGGCCACAGCGAGAGAGCAAAAGAGAGAAAAGCACAAACAAACACAACGCAACTGTTGTTATCAAACACACCCACACATACTTAATCATTTACCAGCACTGCAAATCACGTCATGAATACGAAATACACATGAAAAGCAAGGCAAAGAAAAAACGAGCAAAGCCAACAACAAACAAAAAAAATCAAAGCCAACACGTGCTTTTATTACGTTATACGAGAAGTGAGTGTGTTTGTGTGTGTGTGAGTGACTTTTGCTGCTCAGTCTTTGTGATGCAACTGTTCTGGCAGAGAGAGAGAGAGAGAGAGCGAGAGCGAGAGAGCTACAATGTCTGTCATTGTTGTGTGAACAGAGCAGCGGAACTTGTTTTATAGCTGTTTTTGTTGTTGCTTTGCCGTTTGACTTTGTGTCTTATATTTTTCATAGAGTAAAAAATGAATGCAAGAAGAAAAATATGTGTGTGTGTGTTATTGTATGCGCAGTTGCCAAGTGCAGAAAATTACTAATCGAAGCATTGCAAATGCTTAAACTACTATTAACTAATTACTACACGCACACGCACACATAAAACCATACAAGCGACAAGCAAAGCGACAAGCAAAACGACAAGCAGCCAACCGCACTGACTGAGCATAGAAAACGCACTGCAAGTCCAAAAAAAAAAAATTGCATGTGCAAATCTGCAGGTCAGAGAATGTTGAATGGAGAGAGGGGAGCGGGAGAGAAGGACTGTGACTGAGCATTGAGTGAGTGAGTGAGTGAGGGCAAATGTAACGAAAGCTCTTTGATTCTGTTACTTATTAATTGATTACCTTAGCTTTTAGTCTCATCTATTAGCATTTGTAATGGTATTTTTAATTGTTGTCATTGGCTTCAGCATATATTACACCAGCTGTTGCGTGTGCAGTACTCATTAACATTTCTGACGGTACTATAATTTTTACACACGCACACGTACGAGAAACGATGCATGCCAAGCGACGCCACCTCACTGATCGAGCATAGAAAACGCACTGCAAGTCAAAAACAAATTGCAAATGCAAAGCTAAAAGCGACAGAGTGGGAGAGCAGGACAAACTGTGCTTTGAGTGAGGAATTGTAATAAAAGCTCTCAAATTATCAGCACTTTAATTTTGTTACAAAACATTGATTGATTGCTGTAGCCTTTAGTATGTTCTTCGAGCAAGTTGAACATAATTCTTATGTTTTTTTAATTGATAAATTATTTCAGCATTTTATGAATATTTAAGCTCTTTTTGATGTGTCCCGATTTTCATTGATAACTTCATATTTCACTTAACAGAAAAAGCTGTTAACAGACTAAATTTAACAGCACACACATGCAGACTACGTTCCATATTTGTGCACAACAGCGTGCGCTCGCATCAGTCAGCTTACAATCGCGCTCGCAACAATCAGCTTTTGAGAGCGCATGGGATTTTCTTTGTAAACAGATCATTTGTGATATTTGTTGGGGATTTTCCTTACCCTTACGATATATTATTATTATTAATTAATTAATTACATTATAATAGAAACTAAGATACATTGTATTTCGTACTTTCCATCACTTTAATGAACTTATTAAAAAAAATAGAATTGCGCTTTAGTTTGTCTAGAATACTGTTTAAACATTATAAGAACTAACAATATAAAAATCTTAAATTTAATAGGGGAACGTCGATGTACCATAAAAGAATAAATTAACTAGTTGTAAGGGAAGAAAAACAAATATTTACAATTACACAATTTTCAAACCTAATGTGACTTGGCAACAAACAGCAACTTGAGAAACTTAAGCGCATTTTGGTGGGTTGCATAAACATAAACATAAACATAATAATATACTTTACTATATATAGAGAAAGTAAACCTAAACAGTTACCAAAACTAACTCTAACTGTATCTAATGGCGTCTTGAAGACTTTTGGCAGACTATGTCCATACAGAGGTAGGTATGAGGCCCTCCTTGCTGGTATTGGGCGGCGTTAGCACCTCCTTATTGAGGAACTCCAGCGGCAGATTCACCAGATGTCCCTGAAAAATACAAATTGTATTTTTACATTATGTGAATCTTTAGTTAAAAGATATTTATGTCATTGAATAAACTAATAATAAATTCAATTTGTAATTCATTCAAATGAAGCCGATTTTCTTCTTCAGTTTTCTACACATATCATTTGATCCATCATTATATCTATCCAGATCTTCACTCAAGTTTCCTGTGCGATTCTGGAACCCACCTGAATTTCTGTGGCACGCTTGGCGGCCGTTTCGGGTTCAGTTTTGGACAACGGTGGCTCCTCCTGATATTTGCGCAGACTGGCGAATGTCCTCACAAAATCCGTTGGAATGCATTTGAATACCTCATCGTAAATCTCCGTGTTTTTCGATGAGATGCGACGCCAGGTGTTGTGCCAGAACTGATCACAGACAGGATCACTTATATTGATATCAGAGTGCGATGTGGCAGCATCCAAATCCAGTAAACCTAAAAAAGAGCACAGATCTTAGCTATAGATAAAGATGGAGAGTATTTCTTATGGAGATTTACCCAAATGCTCTTTGAATAGATATTTGCGCAGTCTGCCGGCAAAGATGCCGCTCGGATACTTCTTGCCATTCATGCGTCCATCTTCGTACTCCTCATCCATGATAATCGCTGCTATTTCCGAATCCCGTTTGCCGATCATTGAGCGATCGTTAATGTTCGCCGATCCACAGATGACAACTCGATCGTCGGCAATTAGCAGCTTGGAATGCACATAGATCAGCTCCGTAATCGGTGTATTGTTCAGATACGAATGATTGCGCAGACTGTGAAACGATATATAATTCTCCGGCTTGGCAATGCCAGCCTCCTGAAGCCGGGTCAAAATCGCAGTGCGTCCTCTGTGAGGGAGATATACATAGAGAGTACTTTAGTTGAGTCGTTAGATAAAAAAAAGCTGTATATAGTATATAGTTAAGCATATATGTATATCTTTGTATAGGGTATTATAATTACATCGGAGCATGTGTTAGACATTGAAGTAGGTGTCTCCGATCCTAACCGACTTGATCTGTCTGCCTTTCTCATGCTGTTTACTATATCCTATTGCTGTCATAGGAACAATCGGACTACGCTGTGCCTAAGATAGACTTATATTCATAGTTTAGCTGGAGGCATATGGAATTATTCTATCATTATTGAACATTTGAATTGTTTCTAAAGAAACCTTGACTAAAAGTCAACAAATATTGACCTTAATTATGCTTGAGAATGTTTTGGTAAAGTGCTACTTGGGTCAGACGACTATTAGGCTTAGCTGCCTTTAGAATGATTGATCTATTGTGCAACCTTTGAATATCAGTAAGTTCCCTTGTAGACAATTGATTGCAAATTATGTCACATTATTTACTGATTGAGCCTGACTATGATATGATATTTCAACTGGGCAAACAAAACACAAAGCTAAACTGTGAACAGTTTTTCTAGAATTAATAACAAGTTCGTTGTCAGTCTAAACAAGCAACAAGCTTAATTAAAGTGAGGTTGGGTAAGGGGCACACCTGGAAATGGATGCATAATTCCAATGGGTTATCGCACGCACAGCAATGCCCGTATTGCCGCCGACATCGCCCTCGAAGCCCGGCAATAGCGGCATTATCACATAAACACGAAAACGCTTGCGTTCCCTAAAAGAAGAAAGAAATATTAGAATCGAAATATATATATATAGGATATATCAGTTACTTGTGCGCACGCACGATGCGTTTGTAGAGAGTTTCCCCGATTTGATTGCGCACATTGTTGTGGGCACCCGAGACATTCATGCCCAGCTGCATGGTGATAAAGAACTGATTCTCGATGTAGACATAATGTTGGGCCTTCGTTATGGTGACAATGTAGGCATCGTGGATGCTCTGCTCGACCAGATCCGGTTCGATGAAGCCACAACTCCAGGCGGAGACGCTGCGCAACAGTTGACACGTGACACGCTGCTGCCGTCGCTGTTGCACCTGTTGCAAGTGCGCATTGAGTCGGATGTGCTCATAGCTCTTAGGCATCAGATACGGATATTTGACATTATCCCGCAACTTCTCCAGCTTCATGGCATTCCAGCGCTGTATGAAATGCCTGGCCGCATCTCGTGCGGAGGCACCCACCACACAGATGCCGACATCATGCCACGGCATTCGCGGCGTCGTCGTCCGATCAATGATGTCCACAAACGGCGCATTGAGGTTCATCCAATCCTTGAGTATAAAATTGGAATAGTCCTTGCCGAACCAATACTTTGCCTGGCCATAGAATTCACTTTGGATTTGGGTGCTGGTAGCTGTGGCATTTGCACCCGCTGCTACTGCTGCTGCCCCACTCGTACTCGAACATGTGGCAGCATCCATGTGCAGTTGGGCATGTGCTGAAGCCGCTGTGCCATCCGTGGTGTCAATGCTATAGATTGCTCCAGCTTGCGTTGCCTTCTCTTCTTGCGTCTCCTGCTGCTGCTCCTGATCACTGCCCTTGTCCATCGCTGAACTGTCGTAGGTTAATCGCTGCATAAAATCCTTGCCCTTGCGTGCGCCCTTCATGGCATTATCCTTGAAACGATCCAACATGTTCTTGCGTTCCATTTCGGGTGTGTTCAGTTTCATGCCCTCCAGCGCTGTGGAATCTGCTATGTTGAGCTCACTCGATGCCGCCGACAGCAGCTCGGGGATCAGCAGACGATCTCCCGGCTTCAGCGTACGCAATTCGATTGCATTGGATTCCCCACTCTCTGGCCGGGAACGCGATTCCTTTGGCTCCTTGGGCAACGTTTCGTAGTTGGCATTGCGTGAGGATTTGCGTGAACCGAACGCCGAATCCTCGTCATCTCGGTTGAACTGGATGGTCGGCGTGCGTCGCGTACTCCCCGACACGGAGGTGGTCGAGATGCTGCCCAAATCGGTCAGGCGATGCGCTCGATCATCCCAGCGACCATAGCACAGATCTATGCCGCCCGTAAATGCATAAGTCTGATCGATCACAACGATCTTCTCGTGATGTGCCCACAGCAGAATGCCACCTCGAGCATGATCCGGATGACGCATGACCTAAAGATGGATCATAGATATGAGTTAGAAGTTAAATATTGATAGACTACAGAACTAATAACAGAAGAAAACCCTTTCGAGAGACTGGCAGATACCCTGCCTGTTTACATAATTTCGCAAAACTTCATTATACCCTTTTACCCCTTCTTAGTAGGGCATATCTTTAATGTTTCTCAACGGAAAGTTTCCATTTTAATTAGATTTTCTACTCAAATTCAATCCCTGAGAACAGCTATAAATAGTAATGCTGTAGACCCTGGTAATCCTTCTGCCAATGCCGCAACTCACCTTGATGTTGGCGTGCTTGGCCAGCGTGGACTTGCTGTAGTAGCTATTGATGCCCAGTGCCATTTCGACCTCCTTGTAGAGCAGCACAAACACCTTAATGCCCTGTTGGGCTTTGCGCAACAGAATCTTGTCCAGTCGCCAGTAGTCGCCATTCAATGCTGGGCGCTTCATGTAGATCTCTGGACTGAGCCACCAGTCGGCAATGTAGATCTCCTCGGTGGCTGCCTCGAGGCCATCGGCCACAGCAGCCATATACTGTGCCCCATCCACATACCACACGGCCTGAGTATTGGCACGCATCGGGGCATACGACATATGCGGATTGGGGCAAGTGAAATCACGAGCATAGCTGTTAGCAATGCGCTTCAGATGTTGCATCCACTCTTTGCACTTGCGCTTTGTCCAGCACTTGAGTACGATGTGTCGATTGTTGGTCAGCACTTGGAGGCCCTTTCGCATGCCCGTCTGATAGATGCCCGTGGACACATCGAAGCCCTGATCGAACAGTATCACCGAGCGTATGCTGCCATCTGTTGGCCGCACATAGCCGAAGCAGGTCTCCTTAACGAAGAACCAACGATTCCGCCATGTGCCACACACAACATCCGAGCAGAAGTAGTTGCAACGCACACAACAATTGCGCTGAAAGCAACCAAAGAAGTTGCAACCAGCCTGGCCGGGTCGTGTCGATCCCGTTCGCTTCAATATCTCGCCCTCCTTGCCCTTGATGCCCAGACCAGAGACAAAGGACACACTGGACACCTCCACAAAGTCGAGCTGTCGAATGATAAGCAAGAAAAATCAATAAGTGATCAACAAATAAAGAGATCATAAACTAAAAAAATATATAAACTAAAAAGTATCCTTTCAGAAGTTAGAGCCTTACTCTTATTACTATCGATATAAATCGATATGCATTGAAGTTAGAGCTTTACTCTGATTATTATCGATATGTTGATTATGATCTTTATCTTTATCTTTACATCGTTGTAATTTTATACTGACCGTATCATGATGATTGCGATATAGGCTAATGTTGAGCAGATTGTACAGATAGTCCTCCAGCTGCTTGATCCTCACAGGTAAATGCTCCACAGTGATGAGACTGTCTGGCCGATTTGGGAATCGCGGCAGTTTTCGTTTCTTTTTCTTGCGTTTCCTTTGGCTGCGTCGAAAGGTCAGACTCGACAGGATCGAGCCATGTGCAGGACTTAAGATCCTCGCCGCAGCACTCGGACCAACCACAGCACCATTCGTATTATTATTATTGTTATTATTATTGTTGTTAGTATTGGTCGCTGGTGTGCTGGACTGCTTGACTTTGGTGTGGGCGGACAGATCCTTGAGCGTAGACTCATCGGCCATTTGACTGGCCGAAGCCTTCAACGTGGTGCGCTTCTCCTTCAACGCTCGACTCGGAAAGGGCAGCTTCAGCTTGGTGCGAAAGTAGCTCAGCTGCTGGTGCAGTGAATTGAAGTGTTTGTAGCGCTTCTTGATCGTCCACTTGAAGGGGCCATGGGTCAGCTCAATGGTGTATCTGCAACAAAGACATCGATCAGACCAAAGTAAGTTGAGGACTCTGAATTGATTACACGATCAATTCTATTGTAATAATTTCGAGTTGAATATAGGAACACATATATAAATTAAATAAATATTTCAGTTGTAGTTCTTTTTACTCACAAATTGGGATTCAATAGATGGGTGGTCACACTCCTCTCCGTGTCCACGATGCGCACATGAATCTCCCTGCCCGGAATGAAGACTTTTCGCTGAAACGAATTGAATTTGACGCTGGGCCCATAGATGCTGGTGAAGGGCACATCTTGGCGCATCTGGACACTGTTCTCATCATCGAACTCCTCGTCATCATCGTCGGTCTCCTTGCGCTCCACAAATCGGGGCTCATCGCCGCCCGTTGACAATATGGTGACGGAATCGGGAAACGCCAGCGTTTCGTCGTATTCCGATTCGACAATTGAGAACTGAAATTCGGGCAGGCAGCGACTATTGTGTGCTGTCTCCTCTTCCTCGGCGATGTTCTCATCTGTGCAGTCCTTGAACACATCATCGCCATCATCATGGTGTTCGGCATCAATCTCATCGTAGTTCTCCTCCTCATCCGCATCCCCATCCCCATTCCCATCCCTATTCCCATGCCCATCCACAACCGTATCCGCAACGGGATCGAGCTGCTGTTCGGGTGTGTAGGGCGGCAGTGGCCCACTATTTCTGGCTTCCGACATGTCCGAGTATTGTGGAAAGTAGTAGGAACTATCTAAATCATAGTCATAGCCGCGATTGATATAGCCGCCATAATTACTCGGTCTGTAGGCATCATCCGTCGGATATTCAACTGGTGAATAAAATAGTAAATATGATTTTAATAATGCTATGCAAAAAGACTTGGAGACTTGAACTTAAATATAATATTAATATTGAGGTAACAACCTGATTAAAAACAAACGAAAATATATTTAAATGCAGTATTAATCTAGGCGCCAAACAATCTATCTATGGGAATTGTGGATCCATAGATAGATCCTTAAATATCACTTTTAAGTGCAGCATTTAAACCTAAATTTCGATCTACAAATGTATTTCCAGATTGAAATGTAGCATGATAAAAAATGGAATGATTTTGAAAATTGGTTTAGTTTTGACAAAGTTTTAATATGTTTTCAGTCAGTCCTACACTTTGGATGCACACTTAATTTAAGTTACTTTTATACTACCAAACTTCAGCTTACAAGCCCAAAGAGAAAAAGAGAGAGATATATACATATATATATTCGACTCACTCTGTAGTAGTAGTGGTGGTAAAGTACACCTTATCTTCTATTTACACGACTCTTTCAAGTGGTTTTTGCAACGTTTCATTTCGCTTGCGAGTCGCGCACCATTTTAATTAGTTAACATTGAGGGTTTGTTGTTTCAACTAAATGCTGTTGACTTGTCTATTCTCAAGCATGTGTATTGTCTATTAGTCAAGTCATTATTAGTATCTAATGTGCACACTGAACATATATATCTATATATATATATGATAGCGTTAAACACAAGGGATTACACTGGAATTTTTTACTGGAATCTTGTTCAATTTAATAAGTCAAGTGTATGTGAGGAGCTGGTGTTTGAAGAGCTCTTCAATTTTCCCAAGAATTTTCAAGTTATTCACAGAAGCAGCAAACCAATATTGAAGCTATTTTTATCAAGCAGACTAATAGATACCCTCGTATTAAATTTATTTATTCATCAAGTTTGAGTTTTCTTCTGATCTTTAAGCATTTAATTTGAGTAATTTATACAATGTTATACAAAGTATATATAATATTACAGGAAAGTTGATTAGAGAATAATGTCTGGTATTTATACACTTGTTGGTATTAGGAAATGGCTTTTGCCTTCAAATTTTATCGGACAACAAAACTCGAAGAATTCATGGGCCGCAAAAGTCCAATAAATATGGCAGGTGCTGATAAAGGTGCGTCCAACTTATCGCTGATAAGTGATAAGAACGTGTAGCCCACAAAATAATTAATGTTTTTGTTATTTTGCACCGCATTACTTAGGCAGACTTAAAGCATAATGAAGCCCAGACAGATGGCAAAGTATGCATGATAAAGTTACTATATATATACACATATATATATATATATACATATATACTCCACTTGAGTGAATGATAAGTCTCTCTTGCCAATTTATCAGAAGTTATTTACATTTTGGACTGCAGACAGCTGTCTTTGGTGTCCAGTTTGATGATTTGATGGATGATTTCTGGTTGGAATAACAACTGTTATTAGGCGCTAATCAATTAAATTATGATTTATATATGTGTGTGTGAGTCAATATATATAACTGACAGATATGGACTGGCAGATATAGTGTCCGATAACAGCACGCACTTTGCGCTGCTTGCCCTTTTTTGATATATGACTCGAACTACTGAAATCTATTGGCTCAACTGATAACTGATAAAGGGACTAACTGCACAGCATAAATATGGTTAACTATTAGTTTTTTTTTTTTTATATAGAAAGCAGTACAGTAAAGCCAGGTAAAGATGTATATTATTTATTAGTATTATTATGTTGTGCTCCCCTGCTGAGACTATAACTCTTCTGTGAGTCTTCTGGCGACAGTGACTCTATTAAATAAGTTTGATTCTATTAAGTAAGTTTATAATTTACTTTCAGCTAATATATAAGTATGAAAAATAGCTTCGAAGCAAGCGCAACCCATGCGTATAATAAAAATAATCTAATAATAAAAAGTAATCTCTCTAAAAATATAGTTAAGAGCAGGCAAATATGCCTGAGGTAGCCCAAGCGAATTAGTCATATGATCTTATCAAAATATCTTATCGCTTTTGATGTTCTATTTAATGTTGGGTTGGTGTTGGGGCAACCACCACCCCCTACAACCCTCTGGCTTGAAATAGCTGCAAGGTTGGAAGTTTTTTTTGAACATCTAAGTTCAAGTTTGTCAGCAATAAAAATTGAACTTGTTGAGCTCGGTTAGTTTGTCTGGCATTGAGGCCCCGCTTTTTTTTTTGGGGTGGCCACAAAACATTATGAAATATATACGTCTATATAGACGTATATATATAATTTGTCAAGTTTAATTGGGAGCACGTGCGCGGTCAACGCGATTGTTATCAAAGTTAGTTGGTGGACTTAAATTGAAGGTTGTTTTATGACTGCAAACGGAACTTTCTACAAATTACAGCCTTATAGCATTAACAGTAAATAAAAGTTAAATTATTCTATTTATGTGTTTGTTATGCTCATCGTTTTGAGTCATTTAGTTTAAAATTAGTCATTAGTCAGAGGCAGGTTCAATGTACGCCTTGAAATGTAAAAATAAACAATCATTTTGCTTCTGTTTCTTTTTGATTTTTTTGACTTTTTGTTGTCTCACAAGAAAGGTTCGTCAAATTGTGAGAATGAGGCGAGCAATGCTAAGAATAACTCATTACGTGAGTGCTTTCAAAAAGATTGGTTAACAAATGTTGGCAGAAAAGCAAGTGAAACAGTAATATAAAGCTAGGCCAGTTGCCAGTGAAACGTTTACGAAATTAGCACAAAGACTGAAAGACAGCCAACTTAATAATTCAAGCCTAATCTCCTTGGATTATTTATTATTAATAATTATTATTAACAATCAAAAGTTTGGAAAGAAGAAACAGAAACAGAAACATATTGCTGCCTGTGAAACGTTCACGAAACCGCACACAGGCTGACAAACTGCTAATCAATTTGAGAGCCAGGTAATCCCAGCCATATCTCATTGGATTATTTGATTCGATTATCGTTTCTGGGGCACTCCAATTTTGTCGCATGTATTTCAACATAATATTAAGCTGGCTGTCAATTAAATAAATATTTAAAGAGCTCTTTAGCGAGCATTTTGATCACTTTCATTGCTTAAACAGTTGCTAAATACTCATTAGCACAGTGCTGTTAACTGTGAATTATTCTGGCCACAAATTGATGGAACACGAAGACCCCATTTTTATTGTGGCCCCCTCACTTCAGCCCGATAAGAATGGAAAAAAGAAGTTGTAGCAACAAAAAAAAAAAACAACACTGCGGCAAGTCAACACCCAAAAAAAAACGAAAAAGAAAATACAATTATTATCAGGCAAAATAAAAAACAATGGAAGCAAACAATTAGCCACAGCAAAATGACTGATAAAAAACGAAAGAAAACGACAACAAAAAAAAACCAGCAACTTAATAACAAACCGCAAAACGGCAATATTATTATTATTCTTTCTGTTTTTTTCTTGCAGTGGTCGTTGAGTCAAAGTCAAAGGTTATTCTTTGCTTTTTTGTGTTCTGGATTTACGTGTAGGAATATTCCTGATTTACAACATTTTCAAACGAATATGATTTACGCAAACGGAATTTAATTTCATTTGGCTTGACTCATATCGATAATACAAGTTTGGCCATTTGTTTTGATATCAATGAATGTATATATATATATATTATATAATTTTATCTGATATTGCGCCGTTTGTTTAAAGCAAAAGGGTCTTTCAACTCAATTCGCGCTGAATTGACCCTATAGAAATGTGCCAAAGAAATCGAAACTTCCTGTTGCAGTTGTTCATATTGTAAATAAATAAAATCGATTGAAAAGAGCTTACAACGTGCCAGGCATTTACAATTTAGACATCGGCATATAACAATATGAATAATTGGCTAATGGTGTGGCTTAGTTAGTCAAACACGCAAACACGTGAGGCGAAAGCAGCAGTTAAAACTCCAGGGTTATATAACAATTAGAAACACGGTGGCTTTAAAGGTAACAACAAGTCTATAAAATATACTTGGTAGATAAATAAAGCAACAATAGGAAAACTTCTATTTTAGACATTTTAAAGTTAACTGCACATTTTGAATGAAGCAATGAATAAATGACGTAAAAAGTATTATTATTGAACTGAGTCTTAAGTGAGTTTAAAATGTAAATATTCTACAGCTTACAGTTGAAAATGTCTTAGGACATTAAAAGTCAAAAATATACAAAATTGATTATTATATATTTATGGGATAGGCAGAAAGGTATAGATAAAAAGCAAGTACTAAGTACATTTTTGTCTATACTATAAATGTAATTGAGACTTTTAACAGAGAAGATAATCTGATCAAAGAATTGTCATTTTTAATCAAAAATGTCTCCTTGAGTTTTTAATACAATCAGCAATTGCGCTTTTAGGTAAAATTTAATTTTCAGTTGACGTTTGTTCAGCTTGCGTCAATTTATCAAGTTCAACTGCGAAATAGGCTCTGTAATACTCTAAAAATATTGACAATGTTCATGTTATCAGCATTTTTATGACACTATAATCGTTGATAATTGACAATTGTTGATAAGAATTTTACGGCTGAGCTGAGTTTTTGTTGTTCGCCGGGTGAATTGTAGTCTATGGAACTGAACTGAAAATACTTTATAAATGTTTTTATTTTATTTACAATTAAATAAATATACATATACTTCAATCGATTCATTCTCTTCCTAACACGCCCACTCAACAAAATACAATAGAACAATAGTTGCAAGAGTCGGTGTCATTTCAAATTCTTTTTCACTTTCACAATCAAAAACCGGCTAAAGTACCAAACCGGTCAGCAATAAGCAGTAAAACAATTCTAGAAATTCAACAAGAGACGCCTGAAACTTGAAAACTGGTCCAACATAATAATACAGCGCAGCTTTTTTTTTGTGGCATGACGCAGAGTTGAAATGGAGACACTGCCAAGTCTGCCAATGATCTAACCATGACAACAGACTCAACACACTTAACAGTCAAGCATCTGTTAATGCGCAGACACACACACAGAACCAGAAATAGACTTGGACCATGAGAAACGTAAGCAAAACAAAAGCTTGCAATGACTGTAGAGTGGGGAGGGCGAAGAGAGAAGGGGTATAACAGGTGTGGGGTGCGGCCATCAGCTGTGATTACGTTGTCTGATCCTCAGCACAGCTGAGAGACATTAACATTAACAGACACTTTGGGACATTTAACTGGGATTTTTTATATGTAGGTCAATTGGGAATTGTGGATACATTTGGGACATTTAAGCGTTAGACAAACAGATTGGGGACATGACAACAGTGTAGTTGGTACTTTAAAGCTGGCTAAACAATTACCCATGCTGGCCATCAGCTGTGAGATGCTGCGACGATGACGTAGCACCCGCATATTTGGCATATCTGACGTCAACGCCGCATGCCTTGGATCCTGCTGCAGCTGTTCCGCCTCAGCGTTGACAGCGTCCGGGACTTTTGGTACATTTGGCTGGGCCATTTTTTACACCGGCGTTTTGTTTGTTTCTTTGTTTAAGTATTTATTTGGTATTTTTTCTTTTTGGTAAGCAATTTTTTGTTGGTATTGACTGAAATTCATTTTGTATTTTGTTTTTTTTAATTTGTTTTACGAGGTTTCCGTTGCGCTTGTTATTGTTGTCATTGTTTGCCTTACAGCAGCTAATTAAACAATAAATACACACATTTTGTAGATAAAACATTTTATAATCAGATCTCTCTTCTTCTTCTGCTCTTCTAGTTAATGGAGTCAACGACTGATTTAAATTGGCTCATGGCCAATTATTTTATGTTTTTTTTGAAACATTTCACTTATTTACTGATAGTTATTAGTATTATTAACTGCTGTTTTTTTATTTTTATTTTTGGTATGGGTTCGCCCCTTAATTTTAACAAAACGTGAACAATTTTTAAAACATTTATTTTTGTTTGCCAAAAAAAATATATCGCAGACAACTTGTTTTTTTTTGTTGGCTTAAGCTGGCAGTGTGACCATTTTTGATGAATCATAAAAATTTATTTCACATCACAGTCAAAGGGAATTTATGGCAATATTCAAATTCAAACTGTGATTAGCCTACTTTCCGTGATTTTAAAAGAAGTTTGCCTTAAGCGGTATTACTTAAAAATAATTGTATATATTTTAGTGTTATTTATTTATTAAATATATATTTATTAGGTTTTTCTTGTAGACAGCAAACAATATCGAATTCACATTTTCGCATAAGATTTTTTAATTACACTCGAACAACATTGTGCTGCTGAAATAGAGCCCATAAAAATTTTGCACAACAAACATTTTTGGTTTATTTTTTAGTTTTTCTTTCTTTTTTTTTGGCACAAATGAAAATTTGGAAATAAGCGAATATTCGTATTGGCACTCGTGTATGTGTAATTATTTCCATTATTTCCATTATTTTCCATTTGCTCTTGTTACACATTTCACATTTTAGTGGAGGGGAGGGGGTGGGGATGGAGGAGTGGGAAGTGTATAAATTCCATTGGATGGCTTTGTATCTTTTCACGATATGCACGCATGATATGCATAATTTTAAGATTGAAAACAACACGTCTGCATTTCGCGTGCGATAATATTCCCCAACAAAAGCAACAACAACAACAAATATAATAATTATAATTATATGAAATATGCCATTGTTTACTTTTGGTCAGCGACTAACGGAAGTTACAGCTTTCAAGCTTTCAAGAGAAGAGCCGTTGGCTGAAACCCGTCGCCGCAGCAGTCGCATTAAATATAAATAAAACACTGAAGAAGAAGAAGAAGTAAGAAAAAACGATTGCTTTCGTTGTTGTTCTCGTTTTTTCCCGTTTTCGTTTTTGCCACTTCTTTCTACCTGTGACAACAACAAGAATGTCAGCGCAGAAATGAAGACAACTCACTCACACAGACACACACACACACACAGCGATAAGCGAAGCACGAGCCCCTTCCAGCCCCCTTTTCCCGATTCGCGCCCACGATCAACGGATCGTTTCGAGTTGCGAGCGCGTTGCCAAAAGCGTTGCGTTAACGTTGCCGTCACTTTGCCTAATAATAGTAACTATAGCAAACCGACGATGGCCAAAGCTTTCGTGGCCGAAAGCAGCGCACCAATCGGTTAACGTTTACTCTTACGTTAACCGGTTAAAGTGCGCTCGCAGTGAGACAGTGAGAGAGAGAGAGAAAAAGCGAGTAGATTCTGGTGTTGCTGGTTGGCATTTGCCAAGCACAAACAGCTGTTTGGAAGCTTTGCCAGTCACTGGAAGTCACTCTATGCGGGCTCTGCAGAAGTGAGTGGAGCAGATCAATAATCTGCGCCTGCATTTAAGAACATTTGCATTTTAAGCTACAAGGTCGCATAGCAGAGAGAGAGAGAGAGAGAGAGAGAGAGAGAGCAACTGAAACGAGTTTGGCGATTTGAGAGGAGACTGCGAGAGTGAGAGAGTAAAGTTGAGTCAGTGTTAAGAGAGGCCTTGCAGTGAGCAATAAAAGCAATGTGCAATTGTGATCTCTAACGGAAAGTTGGGAAATTAAAAAGGGGTATTTTCCATCATTTGTCACATTATACACGCACATGAGGATTGTCTGATTTGCAAATTTAACCGATTCAACCGTGATTCATATTCAAACATATTGCTAAAACATAGATAAAAAAACACACGTGTGTGTTGTCAGTGTTGTGTAATCTTATCTAATTGGAATCAACACTCGTTATTCACATCCAATCTTATACGGAATATGACTATTGTTTTGTGTTGTGCCCTTTGGCGAAAAATGAAATCGCAAATTATAATTACATTTATGATAAGATTACAACAATAACAAAAGGCTCATTTCGTCATTACAAAAATGCGTCAATTTCAATTTTGTAATCAACAAAGCAAAGTGTTTCAGATTATAAATATGGGAAACCCGCATAGGCTAAACAACTTATAAATATAGTCCACAATAATTTATTAATAGCTTCTGCATATATACAAAAAATATGACACAATTGAAGGTCTTTAGTTTTGTTTTGATATTTTAAATTAGTTTATGAAATATATCTAAATAGTTTCAGGTTCTCGCATTTAAAATTGTGTCTTTAGAAAATTGGACGACTTTATGTATATCTTTAGTATACCTCATATATATATTCATATCTTATCGCTGATACCAATCGAAATATTGCCAAAATAAAACTTGTGAGTTTGGCACCAACAAAAAAAAAAAAACAAAAACAACTTTTATAACTTTTCGGAGAAGTAAAAAAAATAAAAATCACAATTTAAAAAATGTAAAATGAATAAACACATAATAAAATAAGTAAATAAACACGTTATTTGCATAAATCTATATATATTTACACTCTACAAAATATTTAATGAACTTTAATTCAAGTGAATTAATCAGAATTAATTGAGTCTCAATAGCAAAAGCTCTCCGAGGAATAGTTTACTAACAAAAGTTGTCTGTGTTTATATTTTGCAGTCAAAGTTCAGATAAGATAATTGTGCATTGAGCACTGTTTACTATAGACTCTATAGACAAAATTATAGCAATAATTCCACGTTGCTATTTTGTTATTATTATTTATGCACATTTGAACAACCCATAGAAGTTTTAATGTTTTTGTTTACCAATTCATTCACAATGTGTGCTATTTGCTATTGTGAACAGTTCTAAGTTGCTTGTAAAATGTAACAAAAACATACCCTGTATATATTATATATATATATAAATTCTGAAAAATATATTGCTTGAATATGTTTATAATTATGCATAATAGGCAATGAGCAATAATAAATACAAATGTACAAAAAAAAACACTTACTTGAAATCAAAATATGCTCAAAGCAAGAAGAGCTTTTGCAACAGCATCAAAAATTTATTATTGTGACTTGATTTACGTATGTTGTGTGTTTGTATGTGTGTGTGATAATTCCTTTTCATGCGCTTTTGTATTTCTTATTATTCGTGTAGCTCTACTCACACACACACACACACACTCGCGCACGAGCAACACTCAATTGCACACACACACACACACAAGTTTATTTTATTCAAGTGTTGAGCTTTTTACTTCTTTTACACAAGTTTTGTTGGCAAGTGCAAAAACAATTTGGAGCAGCTCAAATTGTAGCGAAATAATCAAGAAATATGCTAAAATTCATTTCAAATTTTGATTGCTGTTCAATTTTTGTTGTTGTGATGCGAAACCAACACATACAAACACTCACACACACACACAAAACTGAGATACGGACGCGATCTTGTTGTTATTGTAGGATTTTGAACTTTCTCGGCAAGAAACTTGAAAAAAAACTTGTTGCTCGCTTGTTGCTTTGAAGAGCGCAGTCGCCGCGGCCGCCTCAATCGTTGCCGTCGAATTAATAACTGAATAAAGCAAAAAACGTGCCGTCTGCTGACTAGAGCGCCGTGAGAACTGGAATTGAGCACTGGAAGACAGCCGCAGCCACAGCAGAGATAAGAGTGAGAGAGAGAAAGAGCACAGAGCAAGACGTCTTTTGCGATTCGGTCTGTGTTGCATCAGCTATTTATGATTTGATTAATTATGTTCGACACTGTGTTGCTCAAGTCATTTATGCCAAGTGCACAGTTTTTAATTCAAGCTTTGCCATTTCTTACAGTTCGACGCCAAAGTCTGTGCCTGCAAGCAGCGGGAGAGAGATGTTGAGAGACAGAGAGAGACAGCGCGAGCGCTAACGTAATGGCGATCAAACAGCTGAGTGATGTGCACAGTGGCACGAGACTGCATGTTAATTAATGAAATAGATGATTGACTTTTGACATAAAATAAATGAAAGTGAAAATAGTAAATATTTTCTAGATCAGCGAATATATGCAAGTCCCATGAATAAATAAATACACATAAATATTTAATGCAAAAAAGGAAGTCACTTCCCATGCGATAAGAGTTGCGTTGAAAAAATTGCAACGATAAGCAGTAAAAAAAATTTATGTTGCATACAGGGTATTCATTTGTTTAGTAAGACAACTTGTGGAGAGGTTTGCTTCATTTAATATGTTGTTTATTTTATAGTTCTTTTGTTTCTTTTTCTTTCGTTATAGCTTTATAAATTGGTTTCATTTTCTCAGAAAAAATAATGTGTTAATGCTCTAATCTATAAACTACATACATTATGTATTTTCTTGTTTTCCTTTTAATTTTATATAAATTGTTTAAGCATATTTATATATATATATTATTTATAAATGTAGTAAATTGTATTTTGTATGCTTTTTGACATTTTTGAATTTTGAATGGTTTTTTCTTAGTTTTTGTTTTTTTCATTTTTTTTTTTACAGCGATCCCTTGCAGCGTTTTCCAAATATATTAATCAAAAATAGTTGCATTTTATACGGGTTGTTTCCTTTTTGTATATATATATATATACATATATATATATATATATATAGCACATATAATTTGCTTATAAAGCTACTGAATTAAATGTGTTTAAGTGTTTTGTGTATATTGCTTAACGAATTTACATTAGATAACTTAAATTTAGATTTGAACTGCCAACAAGAGAATAATAATCGAAAAACTATATATCTATATATATTTTTAAAAAAATGTGTATTAAGCAAATGAAAATTGTTTAGCAAATATAAGTTCTATATAAAGGTATATATATATTTATATATATATATATATATTGTGTGTACTTCCATTAAATTACTACATATAAAAAATATATGTATATGATGCAAGTTCATGTTACAAAAAATCATAAGCGTCTCGTTTGCGTTTTACATTTATCTAAAAAACAGATGCGTTTGCAATCGATCATTTGATATATATATATATATATATATATATATATATATATATATATATATATTCTCTTACAATCAAATGAACAAGTTTAACACATCTTTTATATTTGTTTTTATTTTTTTTTTGTTTAATACAGTGTTCGCTTGAAAATTGGATAACTTCATTTGTAATATTTGCTCTAAATAATAATAAGGTAATGTAAAACGAAAGTCAACAAATAAAAGTTGTACAATTTGAGACTTGAAAGAGTAATTGATAAAGCTGACTTATCGACAAGGTAGATTTGATTAAATTACAAATGACTTTCCAATTCCGCAGCGAGCAGTGTATTAACTTGGTTTACAAATTGTTATATATTTAAGTATACATCTAGATATACATATATATGTATATATATATAGTGTAGATTTCCTCTTGCATTTTGACACAATTAGTTGCGATATCTCTGGTTGATTTGCTTGCTTATGCATCCGACAGATCACAGTAGGTGGCGCCGCTGCCCGCAGCCAGCGTCTTCTGTTCATCGTCCATTAGTGCATCGACATCGGCATCGGAGCTGGCCTCGTGATGATTCACCTGCGGCGATGAGCTGCTCTCGCCACAATTTGTGGCATACACATGCCGTCGACTGCCGCCCGGCAGCTGATTCGAATCATCCGTGTCCGCATCCCGTATCGAATTGAATGCATTGCATGCGTTCGCATTTGGCGAACAGGTGTCATCGTTGGGCGGATAGACATGTCGATGATAGCTGCCACCGCCACTACCCCCGCCGCCAATGCTGCCATCCCCATCGAGTTCCGCTTCGCGTACACTGCCAAAAACTGGCGTATGCGACGAACTCCGTCTCAGCGATGCCGGCGGCGACCAAACCGTTTGATACAGCGGCGATGCAAACACATACATATGATTCAGATACTCCATGTCGTAGCTGGGCTGATACGAGTCCGTCTCCAGCGGATTGTACGTATGCTGATACATCGGCGTCTGCCGGCAACTGGCCGAGCCCGATGCACTGCCCGCATACTGAGGCGTATCATATGTCTGCGAACGTGTCGAGCTGCCCAACAGATGATGCAAATGATGTGGTGCATGGCCGCTCTGGCTGCCACCAGCACTGCTGCTGCTGCCGCCGCCACCCGTCCGATGGCCAACGCCCGCCGGCAATGTGGCATAGATGCCCCGATATGCCTCGTACGGCGTCTGCGGATAATACGCATCGCTCCAGCGCACATGATTTGGCGTATAGTCTCCCTTGGCGTACAACTGTTGAAGGAGAAGCAGAGAAATCGATGAGTAATCAACAAGTTTGAAGAAATGTTGCTAATGTGTGTGTCTAGCTTTGGGTTTGATGTAAAAACTCCTAATTTTCACTAATTAAATTAAATTTCAATTGAGAGTAGCAAAAAAGATTGCATTTGGAGCAGGAATCATGAAATGCACTTTTGACAAACTTAATAAATAATTAAATACAGTTTCCACATCAAAAATCGGCCCAGACATTAGCACATTTAACAGGAAAGTGATTCGATGTTGTGGCTCACCTGTATGGGCCTGCAGAAGCCCTTGTTCATGTGCCTGGGCACGCCGAGCGTGTAACTGTGACTGAATCCCACCTCCGAGCTGAGCAGATACTCGTGAAATTTATTGGGAAAGAATTCAATCTGCTTGTAATTGTTGTAAATCTCCGGCTAAAGAAAATATATATTATTATTATCATTATTATATATATAAAAAGCCAATCTTAAATCACTCACCGTTAGATTCTTCTTCTTCTTGTAGCTGGCCCAGTTTTGGGCCTCGAGTATAAGCTTGCCACCGGGCCGCAGTTGATTGAACATGCGCTTGAAGGCCAACTTGAGGCCGGCATCCCCGAAATTGAGATGCATCCACTTGGTGACCGACAGACACAGAATGAGATCGTATTGCTGGCTGTCGTGCGACATCAGCGCCTCATCCTTCAGCACATAATTGGTGCGCCGAAAGAAGACATTTTGCGGGAATTGGTTTTTGCAATTGGACGACGACAACGACGACGACGACAACAACAGATTCGCTGGCGATTTGCCAGTGGGCGGGAGCAGGAGGTGGGGTATGCCGCCGTATGTCAGCGGAAAAGAGATGGGAAAGAATTCGTGCGGCTTGACGAGCAACGAATCCAATTTCAACTGCTGTTGCACATCCAGCAGATGATCATGATCGTGATCATGATGATGATGATGATGATGATGATGATGATGGTGGTGGTCGTGTTGGTGGGGATGATGGTGGTGATGATGATGATGATGATGATGTTGCAACTGTTGCAGTGCCAGCTGCTGTTGTTGTTGCTGCTGCTGCTGCTGTTGTTGTTGCTGTTGCAACTGCAATTGTTGCTGCTGCTGTTGCGCCCTGCGTCGCTTCTTGCCACGTCGCGTCTTCTTGTGCAGCATTGCATTGCTCTCCTCGCCGCTCTCCGCCAGCTTATCGCTGGCCAAGTGGCTCTGTTGCTGCTGTTGCTGTTGCAGCTCCTTTTTGATGTCCTCCTGCTTAATCTCGGCCACTTTCTCGTGCTCCTCCTCCCTGGGTATCCGCACAAATATGGACAGGTTGCGACGAGCGCGCGAGACGAGCTCCTGATCGATATCGATGCCGAGTATGGATTTGGGGGCCAGGTGACGGGCCACCGTGATGGTCATGTGACCCACATTGCAGCCGACATCGAGGATGTCCTTGTTCTGGAACAGTTCCGCATGCCGCTCGAACACCTGCAGCCGCACATCCCGGAACTCGTTCAGTTGCCTGAAGTCCACGTAACGATCGAAATTGCCGTAGCGATACTTGACGCCATCCGCCCGGAATTTGGGCAGCTTGTGGATGGGCGGGGGAATTATTTGGGGTTCGAGCATTAAGCCAAGCACAGTTGGGGCAACTGCTGCTGTTGTTGCTGCTGCTGCAACTGCTGATGTTGCAACTGCTGCTGCTGCTGCAACTAATGCTGCTGCTGCTGTTGTTGTTGCCGGCTCATCTGCTGCAAGTGCTTCCGGTTCGCCGGTCGTGTGCGATGTGGCAGCGGAAATGGCGCTCAGCGGACTTCCGACTCCTTGCTCCGACAGATCGGGCGTATCGTCGCGTGGCAACTCGACTGCAACAACTGCTGCAAGCAAATAAATAATTGTATTTTTGTATTTTTGCCGTGACAAAGCCAAGTAGCTATTTGAAACTTACCCTCGGGCAGTGGTTTGGGTGGCAACTCCTCGATGGGACTGAGCAGCTCCGTTTCGCTAAAGGATGTGGAACGTCGCGTGTTCGGTTTGCGTGCCCCACTCGGCTGCAGCTGACGCTGTGGACGCTTCCACGCACCAGGTTGTGGCACCACAGGACTAACAATCTTGTCCATGGCATCATGACGATGGAATTTCTAAAAGCATTAATTATTGAATTGATTAAATTTTTAATTCGAATTCTCAGTTTAACAGTTTATTTGCAGTTCGAGCACGCAATACAATATTTTTTCCAAGAATTTCCACAGTCAAAACTAACAAAAATAATATATTTTTTTTAAATTTATATTGGGAATACCAAACAACCTATTGAAAAGAAAACATTAAACAATTGTCTAGCTTGAAGTTTGCATTAAAATTTGCATATTTAAAAGATATAAATTGCAATTTACTCACTTTACATACAGCTTTTTCTTCTTAATACAAAAGCCACAATAATTATCAATTATTCTCAGATGAAAATTAACATTTTCGATTATGGAGAAATTTTAAATCACTTTTAATGATTAATTTAAGACTGTTTTCCCAGAAAAAATTGTTTATTCCAGCTGTAAAGCGAAAACTGACCCCCAACAAACCAAACACAATTTCAAATACATTCTAAAACAATTTAAGTATGTTTATATTACAAAATTTCTAATTCAAGCAACCAAATAACAACAACAATAACAACAAATAAGCATGTAAAGCTCATTAGCCATAGTTTTATAATCGCTTTAGGCTACCCCTCCTCCAAAACAAACAAAAAAAAACAAACTAAAAAAGTTCTTTCATTGCCGCCCCTGACCCCCTTACCTCAATCTAAGCAACGCTTCAATGAGCAACACAATAATAATAACAACAACAACGGCCATAAAACCCAAATGTAAAAACAGCCAAAAGCAATCAAAACAAAGCAAACGATTGACTTGCTCCCACCAAAAGCAAAGCAAAAAACACAACAACAAGAAAAACAACAGGAGTCGAAGCCCAAGCACAATCTTACACGCACACGCACACTAATAAACACTCACACACGCAGAATACTCTCATACACACGCAAGCACTTGTTCGACACAAGCCATTCCATTCCTCCATTTCAATTCCGAATTCCAATTCGTCACTCACCTTGCTCTTTTGCGAATTGCTCTCGCTTATTTTACGTTTCCTGCTGCCGCTGCCGACGCTAGCAGCGAAGCTCAGACCCGTGCCGCCAACACCGTAGCACGTGCTGTCCAAATCCAAGCGCAAATCACGACTGGCCAGCGCACGACGATCGGCCAACGTCGACGCCACAGCCAGCGCCGCAGCTGTCGTTGTCGAAGCAGCGACTGTCGTTGCGTCGACCAGCAAATCGGCTGAGCTGCTGTTGTCTAATGCTGCTGCCATGTCAATTCTTGACGATGGCTCAGCAGCAGCAGCCACATGTTGCTGCTGCTGTTGTTGTTGTTGCTGTTGTTGCTGTGGCGATAACGTTGACGCCGCTGCCGGCTGCATTGCGTTACATTCCATTTGTTCCTGGGGAGAGAGCGTTTGTGCGCCGGCCGCTAGCGCTGGCGTTGTTGTCTCTTCCATGGCCGTCGCTGCCGCTTGCGGAGAGCGAGAGCGCACATGCGCCTGCTGCTGTGCCAATTCCAATGTTTCAACCGATGCCGCTGCTGCCGCCTCGCTCAGCAGAGTTGCGCTCAGTGCAGCCACTGGTGACGCCGCTGTTGTTGTTATTATTAATGCAGCTTCTGTTGTCGCGACTGCGGCGACATTTGCTGCTGCTGTTGCTGCGCCCGCTGCCTCTGTTGCGACTGCTGCTGCTGCTGTATTAATTACTGATGCTGCTGCTGCGGCGGCTGCTGCCACAGCTGCTGCCGCTGTAGTTGTCGAATCTTCGAGTGAAATCGAAAGCGTCGACGCCGCCTCTGCGCCCTCTGCAACGAGGACGGCGTCGTCGCCAGCATACGAGGTATTATTGGAATCGAAACGGCGACGTTTGCGATTCTTGCGCGTTCGATGCTGCCGATGATGCTGCTGCGGCGGCGGCTGCAACTGCAACTGCAGCTGGCTGCTGCTGCCGCGCGTCAACATGCCGCCCCGTTTCATCGGCGACGTCAGCTGCTTCTCGTACTCCATCGAATCAACGGGATCGAGCAGATGCAACGGGTCATGAATATTCGGTGGTATTATCACCTCCACCTTCGGCGGCGTCGTTATCGGCGACTGACGCGGCGTCGTCGCCGGCGTATTGTTGCTCGACGACGCATTCGACGTGTTCTCATGTTGCAGCGAATTCAGATTGAGCGGATCCGATATGTTGCCGCCCAGCAGAAATTTCGTCGGTGGCACAATCACCTCTTTGCGCAAGCGTTTCTCTGGCAAAAAGAATTTCGATCGGCCGCAACAATAATGAACGGCATTTGCGGCTGCTGCTGCGGCGGCAGCGGCTGCTGCGCTGCTCGAAATAATGCTACTGTTGCCGCTAAGCGAACTGGTGTCCTTGTTGCTGCTTTGCGTGTCCTTGCCGGAGGCGCCACCAACACTCCCGCCATTACAGCCGGTGACCAAGCAGCAAGTGTGATTCGCATTGTTCCCAGCACACAGCACATGATGATGATGACCCCTGAGAGAGAGAGAGAGAGAGAGAGAGAGAGAGAGAGAGAGAGAGAGAGAGAGAGAGAGAGATAAATATATATGACACATTAAATATATATTTTTATGCATTTACAGCTACACACAAAGTAGAAGACATTACGTCATATTTACGTTAAGTTGTAGTTACGTTGGGTTAAGTTACGCGCCATTAAATTTCATTACGTTATATTATTATTATATGACAACTATTAATATTCATTTGCTTACAAAACAGTGTATTGAACATAAATATTAAATATTATGGCTAAAAGTAGCATAAGACCACAATAAGGTATAATCACAAAAGTTAAGCAACTATTTGTTGCACGTGCATAAATAATTACTTTTCATACGCTACATTTTTGTATTTGTTACGTGTAAAGTTGCCATAAATCACTTAACATTGCGCTACGTTACGCTGTAGTAGTTAACATGACATTACGTTACGTTACTTTACCTGTGAGTCAGCATCTTTTTGTACTGCTGCTGCTGTCCCTTCAGGCCGCCATGTCCACCATGTCCGCCCAGCTTGGCATCCATTGTCAGCAAACCGTTGTTCGATGCCGCCGTCTGCGCCAGTCGCGTATTGTGGCTGTGATGATGATGATGATTGTGAGCACCACCGCCACCACCGCCAACGCTGCCAGCGTTGCCAACGCCGGCACCCGCAACGCCAGCAGCGCTGCCACCTAGGCTGTGATGTGCGCTGCTGCCATGATGCGAGGCGTTGTTGACGCCGACGCCGCTGCCACCACTGACGTGAGCAGCAATTTGATTTTTGATATTTTGTATATTCTCGAGATCCGCTTTGTGTGCGGCAACTGCGGCGGCCGTCGCACCGACGCCAGCGCCGGCAGAGGCCTGAGCAGCAATGCTGCTGCTGCCATTGTTCTGATGCTGCTGCTGCTGTAGTTGCTGCTGCTGCTGTTGCTGATGATGATGATGATTTTGATGATGATGCGAAGAATGATGCTGTTGCTGCTGCTGCTGTTGTTGAGCATTGGCGCCGACGCAGGCGCTCGCATTGTATTTACCGCTAGCCTTGTGCTGCCGCTTGCTCCATGCTTTGCCCCCATTGTTGCTGTTGTTATTGTTGTTGTTGTTGCTCTTGTGCTTTGTCGCATGCTGTTGCTGGGCCGGCGCACGAAATTGATGAAGCGTCGGCGTCGATGTTGACGTTGGCAGCGGCTGCTGTTGCTGCTGCTGCGGTGATTTGACTTTTAATTGCTGTTTTTGTTGTTGTTGTTCATCGATTGGCTGTTGTTGCTGCTGCTGTTGCTGCTGTTGACGCCTGGGGCTCTGCTGCAGACGCAGCGTTGGCGTCATACTCGATCTGGTAACGCGACACTCACTCGGACTCGGACTCGGACTACTGCTGACGTTACTCGTTTTATCCATCACTTTTTATTTTAAAAGTTGATTGCTTTTTTATTGTTGTAAGTTTTAAGCTTTAAACAGCTTTTTTGTGGCTATTATTTAAACACTTTTTAACATTAATATTGTCTTTACACTTTTAGCTTTTAACATTATTTATCGCATTTTTTTATGTATTCGCTTGAGCAGCTACTTGTTTTTTTTTTATTGATATGCATTTTCACAGCGACTTCAAGTCGAGTTCATATTTCACTTTCTTACATCAATTATGTACACACTTTACTACCTTTTTTTTAAAGAATCGTTTTTAATACTTATTAAAAATTTCTTTTGTGTTTCGCTTGAGATTTGCATAAATTCTTCTAAATTTCTTCACATATTTTCTGCTGGCATTTTCAGTTCAACCCGCAACTTTTCCAGCATCCGAGATGAGTCCGGCATTGAAGCACACATGATTAAATCCACCGAGACACATCATGTATTTTAACATATTTTTTAATTCTTTCGTGTATGACACACTTGTTTGTCTCGCACAAATTTAAAACTCTCTGCTAGGCCCCATTAATCATACGACCCGTTGTGCATCACTTGGAATTTTGTTCACTTTTTAATCCTGCTGCTGACAACGATTTTTTTAACTTCCGCTGCGAGTTTATACTTCCGGTGTGTGTGTGTAATTGTGTGTGTGTGTTGAGCTGCAAGTAGAAATAAAAAGAAAAAAATTACATGAAAATGGTTGAAAATTAATTGAAAATTTAATTAGCGATAGTAAGTTAAGCACAAAGCTCTCAATAAACACAGACACAGACTGTGAGACACACACACATACACACACACACACACACGCCGAAAACTTAATGAGAAAGTTCAGAGTTCTAAAGCAGATTTTACACAGCACTATCCTGCGTACCCATTCCACCTCACCACCCCCCCTCTTCGACTCTTTACTTGTTTTCGCTGCTAGTTCTCTGCTCTTCGCCTCAGACACACTTCAGCAATATTTTGCATTCATTATTTGCATAGTCAGGCAACGAACGAACCAAACGAACGACCAACGGAACGACGGAACGACGGAGCGACGGAACGACTGACGGAACGACGAAACGTTGGAACTAACCGACGAACGAACGAACGACACAAACGAGCTTTGAAAAATTGAGCACAGACATATATACCCCCCGCTACCCGCTCTCTCTCACTCTTTCTCTCTAACCCACCACACAAACAGCAAGGCAAAAGCAACTTAACTCATTTCATTCCTTTCCATTCCACTGCCAGAGCAGACCCAAAACGACTTCGTTTGGCTAAAAACAGTTAGAGATGCATGACGTATCATCGGCACGACGATGATCAATGTGGAATGTGGGGAAGAAGAGGCAAATGTGTCACTAATTGATATATATCGATATCTAATTTTGATAGATAACAACTTTCAAATACTTTAGAATAAATGCAGGCATGTCTTCAAATCCAGAATGAGCCAGGACGTTAATTGAGTTGAACTTTAATGTGATTTAAATTTTACTTTACTTTATTTTGGTTTGCACAACTTGTATCGATAAACCTACAGCTAGTTTCGATAGATAACAACTTTAAAGACTGCTTTCAATGTGATAAAATGATAATTAAGTTGATGTTTGTTATGGCTTTGCTTTGGCTGAAACAATTTCTATTTATTTTATTACAATATTTGGTATAGGTAAATCGACTTTTATTTATTACGTTTCAGGCAGATAGTATTTTAATACGGGTGTTATCTGTTGAACCATTTAAAACAAGACTCCCAAAAACACGAGCATAAATCACGTGCACATCCCTTGACACACGGAGTTAGTCGTTGCGGTGAGTGCATTAATATTTGCACGGCAAAATGTGGCTGGTTGGCTGCCTGGCAGAAAAGAAACTCATCCTTTAGCTATCCATTTGTGGCGGCGGCGGCGGTGGTTCTGTGCATTGGTTGCACAAGCGAATGGCGGCGGTGGCAGCAACAATTCGAACACGGAATACCCCACAACAACAACAACAACAACGACAACTGCAACAACTACAGGCATACGCATCCTAGCCACAAAAAAAAAAAACCGAAAAAGAAGAGGAAAAAAACCTCCACAGCTGCAAATTCCCAAACAGTCGAAAACAGATTTATGCCAAAAAGGAAAAGCAGTGCAGAGAAACGCAAAAAATAAAAATGGAAACAGAAAAACACATTTCTACAAAATACATGAAGCAAAATTCTTTAGAAGTCAAAGTGGTTGGGGTTGGGGGGCGGCGCACATTACTACGCAGCATAAGTAAGTGTATCTGTATCTGTATCTATCTATTTGTGCTCTATTTAAAGCTGGCATAGCAACTTGAAGTATCACTCACTCTGACAGAGAGAAGAAGCTCAACGCTTCAAGTTTGACAGCCAAACAATCTGCACAATCAAATTATGCATTTTTATATAAACCAACTAAAAATTTCTCACAATTCCTCACACAAAGAAAATGCTTGAGATGAATTACAAAATACATAAGAGCATAAAAGCAAAAATAATCTAGATAAATAAACACTTTGGACTTTTTTCTGCAATTGCAAAAGGAATATTTGTATTTTGATGGATAAAGTTGTGGTAAGTGTGCAAGAAACTTGGCTTTAAATACAAATATTTATTTTAATTTGAATTTAATTTGAAAAGTACGAAGAATTTTCTTATCAAAAATAATAATATTTCTGTGTAAGCTTAGATTTGAGGACATTTTCCATCTATATTTGTGTATAAAGCTGTTGTTGAAGTGCAAAATAACAGTGAAGCACGTCTGACTGTAAATGAAGACAAACAATTCGCAAGAAATTTATTTTTGAACTGAGCAGTTGACAATTAAGAATCTACGACGCACTTAGTTTAGATTAATAAAAGAGGCAGAAGTGACCTTGCAACCTGGTGACCAAACACAGAAAGGACATTTTGGTTACACGTAAATGTGAAAAGTCAAGCCATGAAGGATTAATATAAATACAGTTAAGGCGCGCACATAAAGCCATTAACCTCAATACGATAAACCCCCACCAGTATGCCACCTACCCACTTACACTCGCCGCAGCAGAACTAAACTACTTACTGCTTACCGACTTACTTGCTTACTTACTCACTCACTTACATTGCCCAGGAACCCAAGAACCGCTCAGCTCGTCGCGCCACCAATGAAAAGCTATCAAAAAAATCAGAGCAAGAAAAACAAAGGCAAATTTTTTTTTGTTTTGTTTATTATTTGCATATTTTGAGTGAAGCAGGAGCCTTGGGGGAAGGAGGTGGAGTGAAGAGGTAGACGCGTGTCGCACAAGCTAAATTTTAATTAAAATTTAAATATGCGGCACGTTGTCGTTGCGTTGAGCGTTGAGCGAGCGTGCCGCAGGCCAGCTTCCCCTCAAAAAAAAAAAAGAAGCAAAGCCAGTCAGCCAGTAATGTGGGCCAAAACCAATGGCTTAACGAGTAAGAGAGAGTGAGGGAGAGGGGGAGGGTAGTCAGAGCGAGAGGGTGGCAGGAAGAATTGCGTGCAAGTTGCCGCAGTTTCCGCTACAAGTTTTTTTTATAAATTTTTTTATATTTTTAATTTTTGTGCAGTGGCCACCAACGGATATTGTCAATTTAGTTAATTTTGTAAACATTTTTAATGAGAGCACTTTCGTCCTTGCTTTACATCACCACCATTCCCCCCCTCCCCAACCCTCTTCCTCTCCCCGGAGAGAAAGTTGTTTTTAGTTGGCCCAAATGTAATTTGCATGTAAATCAAATTAGTTCATTTGCCACAAAGCTCCAGCTGCCACAAGTGGCAACTTGCTAAGAGCTGCTCCAAAAAATATATCCCCTCAACACAAATTATTATGCTGATAATGATGATGATGATTAAGCTGTGGCGAGACTCCTACTTTCTTTTGCGTTGTAGATTTCATATTGCAGCAGGAGGAGAAGAAGGACGAGGATGTTTGCTAAGACTGTGGGGATACCCTGTATAAACTTGATTAATAATACTGGTTCTAAAATAATGTTGATTTACGGTTCAGGTTTTGACAGGGAAACCTTGAGAAAGGTTGAACAATTCTGAAAAAGAAAGATTGATTTTCTCCTACAATTCTGGTAATGATTCTGAACTTCAATCGTTGCCGGTTTGACACGCTGCTTACTGTAAATAAGCAAAATGGTGCCACAGCTGTTTAACTGTTTATATGTTATTCATGTTTGCAAGCAGCAAGTAATCATCCAATAAACTTTACATTAACATTAAGCTAATTTCAGTGTATAAACATTACCGTATACGAATTATTTGTTAAACAGGCTTTAAATCAACAAATAACAGCGCAAAGAGAACACAGATTTAATTTCATTCAAAAATTTGTCATAAATTCAGCTGCGACTTAGCAGTATGCCCCACATTGTGCTGACTCTGTTTATTTGGTATAAATACACGGCACAGGTGTTTTAAATGTGAAATTGAGTCCTTTGGGAGTGCAACAAATTTGTTGCCATATATATGAAGACTAATCGAGAGAGAGAGAGAGAGAGAGAGAGAGAGAGAGAGAGAGAGAGCGAGAGAGAGAGAGGGATAGGAAGGTAGAGAGAAACAGTAGAATATGCCGCTGAAAAACAAATGGCAACACATTTGTTTGTTTGCTTGAAGCACACACACACAGAGACACACACACACAGGCACACACACACAGAGACACACATACAGAGACACACACACAAAGACACACACACAGAGACACACACACACATTGGCACAGTTGGACATGAGGTTATAGTCAGGATGGTGTCATGTCCTGGCAGCAAAGCAGCTTCGCTCGCATTGCATATGTAATGTGCGTCATTATTAAGCACAGCTTAACACCTAACGATAGATAGAGAGACAGAGAGAGAGCTAGATAGAGAGAGATAGAGAGAGAGAGAGAGCGAGAAAGAGAGGGGGAAGGCAACTTACGCCTGGTATGTTATTTAATGCTCGAGCCTTATGGGACTTACAAACAGCATGATGACAATGTGTGCGCCCAGCGACAATCTGAGCCAAGCACAACTTCAATTTTGTCGCGCTAGAGGGCGCCACACACACACACACATACACACATAGAAATATTTTAAATATGCAAGCAGCTAATATTACATACGAAATATATGTCTCGATTATTGTAGCATTTTAAAATACAATAGCTATACTTGAATATACTTCTTGGGCCAAAGTGTTTTTTTGGGGCCTCTGCTGCTGCTGCTGCTGCTGCTGCTGCTGCTGCTGCTGCCTGCCTGCCTCCAGAGTAAAATAATAATACAATATCGTTTGTTGTGTTTACTTCGAGTTGAATACGTTGAAATTCTCACGTCTTAGGGTTTGTTTTGTTTTGATTTATTCAATGATAAATATTTATGTAGATTAGGCTCTTATTTGTGAGTTATATGCGGAAATAATTTATATTTATTTCCACGCTTGAGCATGAAAACAAATTGCTTCCTTTTTAGATCGTCCAAGCTTTGATAAATGTTTGCTTCATTTTTATTTTTATCTTAAACAGTTCTATTAAAAAAAACATAGAAAAGTGTTTGCATTTCTTTGATAAAAGATTTATTTCTTTCTGTTTTCTACAATCTGTGCATATTTTGCACATCTTTTTGCTTAACTTTTCGCTTAATTTTAATGCACTTTTCTTAAGCCATTTAAATAAT